CTTGCTCTGTCATATATTATTTAGTTAAATTTTGATGGGGAATATACGCTGATATCCATGCAGCTCCTATTTGCAATCATGCTTTAACCTTTCCTTTGTAATTGTAATTTTTTGTGATTCAGTCACAGTTTTTCATATCAGCTGGCTTGTTATACATAAAATGAAAAAAAAGCGAACAACCCTTGGATCCTCCCCTCCCTGCTGCCCTCCTATGAGAAAAAAATTAAACTGGAAGTGAACCAATCTGGGTTCTGACGTTTATTTCGTTGGCCTGAATCTGAATGCATGTTATTCTTCTTTAACATTTATTTCTATGCAGATCTTCTCTCCCTATTTTTTCAATCTTCTGGCCCGCTTGTCCTAGTTTCTCTATCATTTATTCTTCATCTTTTGATTTAGTTCTTTAATTGGTTAAAAATCATTCTTTAATTTTCTGAAACAGTCCTTGTTCATGCGTTTACGGATACGAAGCTTGACTTGTAGCCGTTTGGTTCTAGCGTCATGATATTATTCTCTTAGTTGTGATATACAGTTGATACTAAGTTTTGCTAGATGACAATTAATAGTTTGAGTCTAAGTTTGTTTAGCATATGGGAACACGTAGTAGCTCTCATGCTGCAACCAGTCAAATCTAAACTGATCCTTCTTGATTAAACAATCTACTTCAGAGAAAAAAATCTTCTGTTATTAGAAAAATGAAATTACAGTCTTCTAGTTTGACCTTACAAGTTCTATTTCTGGTTGGATTTTGCAGCTACATTATTCCTGTTCCTGTGATAAAGCATTTTATATCTGGCGTAGAAGAACGTGGTGATTACTTTGGATTTTGCTCTCTGGGCTTGTCATGCCAACCTACTGAAAATGCACAAATTCGAGAATACTTCCAAATGCAGTCAAAAATGACAGGTGTACTTGTTAGCCGAATCAATCCTCTTTCTGATGCTTCTAGAGTATTAAAGAAAGACGATATAGTCCTCTCATTTGATGGTGTCCCCATAGCAAGTGATGGAACAGGTAGAATTCTCTGATTTCTCTTGCTCCTCTCTTTATTGTGATTCTTGTATGCAATAGTTAAACTAGTATAAGACTCCACACTGAAGAGCCCTCCCCTTCTTCACAGTTACTGTGAGTTACCAGACTGGAGAGTTCTCTCCTTTTCCCCCATAATTTATTACACGTGCTTTTCTCTTGTTTTAAATGTTTTTGAGGGAAAATGATGGGTTAGGATGAAATGTGAATATGGTTCTCTCCATTGGCTCTTGTAAGCAGGGTAGCATCAACTTAAAAGAGTTCATCTTCTCTTAGCTTGCAACTATGAGTAATTTTTATGACTTCCCTTGGTAAGATGGATATCCTTGAGTCTAGGCTCTTCTCATTTTTGAGTTTTCTCTTGCATGTGGATAGCTCGTAATTATACCAGAACTGCATAAGTGGTGTGCAGGATATGAGAATTGTTAAGGCTGGGATAACTTATTTTCTGCTAGAAAAGTTTGCCCTTCTGCATCCTTATTCTCCATCATCTGAAGTTCCGACTTCTGACATTGCTTATGATTTGCAGTTCCTTTCCGAAACAGAGAGAGAATCTCATTTGACCATCTCGTTTCTATGAAGAAACCAAATGAAACTGCTGAACTTGAAGTCTTGAGGGATGGTGAAGTGCATGACTTCAAGATCACACTTCATCCTGTAAGTCACTTTTATTGAACCTTCAGTATTAATTATTGTTTTCAAATTTGGATACTTGCAGTGGGTTCTCAAACTTTTGCTCTTATCCTCAGTGCATGTTGTCCAAACAAATAGATTTGAATTACTGCACTTACAATTAAGAAAACTGTGGATAATGACTTAATACTGAGGCTCTAGTAGAAGTAAATTCTTCATTTTTACACGATATAATGTGTAAGTTCAAGGATTCAACCATTCTTACTTAGGTATCTAGAATTTTTCATCCAGTATCCTTTTGTCAGCTGGAAAACTAAACAATCTGCTCTGACAAAAATAGGAAAAACAGAAAAGGCGAAAGCAGCCTTGATCAGTTCGTCTTTTATTGTTCTGTGTATCTTCCAGATGTATTTTGCGTGTGAAACTAAGGTTGAACTTTGAGGCCTCTTTCACCTTTTCTCTTTTTCTACTTCCATCTCGTAGAGTGTAAACCCTTCCTTTTGCTATTTCTACTTCTGTGATTCTCTTTTACTTTCACTTGTTATCAACATCTCATTTCTCTACTCATGTCTATTGTATATGTCGTCTTCTATTTCCTAATTCTTGATATTGAAGGTAATCGTAGTACAGTTATTTAAGCAACTATACATGAAACTAAATATTGCAAGTGAATTCCTTTTTGTTATTGATTAAGTGAGAACTAAACTAAATTTTCAGGTTTTAGGAGAGGTATAGGCCTAGGTCGATGATTAGGGTATAAGGATAGGATGTACGCTAATCGTTAAGCTTCCTATAGGACGAGTATACCCCAATCATGACCCTAGATTTAGGGAAGTTTGGGTCGACAATTCATACACTATTATTCACTCACTGCATGACAATCCCTACATTATTATTTACCGCTTAAAAATATTTCTATCATTGTACCTGCATGATTAGTTCATGAACTAAATGAACCCCCTCCCCAGCCCCGCATCGTATTCCTTTTCTAGGCGTAGAACTAGCATGTTGAGAAGTAGTTCAGACTGCCTGGTGTTTAGGGAGTATCACACACTGCTGTTAGAAGTATTCTGGGTGCAGGACTGGGCCAAGGTTAATTTTTGCTTTGTCACTCTTGGAGATCTGGTGCATAGAAGTAGGGTGTTGAGAAGACGACTGTACTTTCTGCTAAGCCTTAAAGTGAACACTTATAACTTATATGATCGTAAATATTATGGTTTCTTTGGCGTTAATCTACTGTATCTAACTACTAAATATTATGCAGTTGCAACCTCTTGTTCCAGTTCATCAATTTGACAAGCTTCCAAGTTATTTCATTTTTGCTGGTCTCGTCTTTATTCCATTAACTCAACCATTCCTTCACGAGTATGGAGAAGAATGGTATAATACCTCACCCCGCCGGTTGTGTGAACGGGCACTTCGGGAACTACCTAAGAAACCTGGCGAACAATTCGTCATCCTTTCACAGGTATGATCTACAGTTTCTTGTCCTTCTGTCAAATGGAGAACTTAAATAATTTCTCTCAAAGAAAAAAGTGACCATGCAATTTCGTTATGATTTCACATGCTAAAACGTATGCTGAGGAATTGCAAAACCAGTGTATCCAAATGGGTAGATCTTTTGCGAGTCTATGCACTTGCAAGTTTTGATTGTTGAATCTGCAACATGATACACCCTTATTGCTGGCATGATAAAGTCCCTTAACCTATCACTTCCCAACTCTCCCCTGATCAGTTCTGGTCAAGCAATCTCATATGCTCAGGAAATATTTCCCATCCACCGAGTCCACAAGCCTATCGACCTGATGCATGTTCAAGCGCATAAATATTTTAAGTGACGCTTTCTTGCAATGTGGCTAAAGTCCAGGTTTTTTTTTCATGGCAAGATATAAGACATGTCTTGCCTTGGCCAATCTATAAAACAAACTATAGATGCATTTGTTTTGTTCAGTTTTTGGTGTTTTCTTTAACGTTCACTTCTCAACCTAATAACCTAACCTTTTACATAGAGACGAAACTTTGATTTTCCTTAAGATTGTACTCACAGATGAACACAATATACGCTACTAACGTGACCTTTCGTAATTAATTAGGTGTTGATGGATGATATTAATGCTGGTTATGAGCGCCTTGCTGAGTTACAGGTAAAACACTCGTTGCTTCTATTACTTCATTCTCTTCTTAAGAAAGACAGCGAAATGACGCCTTTTAATCATATTCCACTTTGTTTCCGCGGAAATTTTGGACCATTTTGTTACAGGTGAAGAAGGTTAACGGTGTAGAAGTTCTGAATCTGAAACATTTACGTCAACTCGTGGAAGATGGTAACCAAAAGAACGTGAGATTCGATTTGGATGATGAGAGGGTGATTGTTTTGAACTATGAATCCGCAAGAATAGCCACATCGCGAATATTGAAACGCCACAGAATACCTCATGCCATGTCTATCGATCTCACTGATGAGCAAAATGCAGCTGAACTTCTGTCAGCTTGCTGAACCTAATTTTGTATACCAGTCGAACCTCTCTATTATGATATCGTTTGCTGTTATAGAATATGATTGTTACAGAGAAGTCGGATTGTACTCTTCACTATTCTTTCCAAATTTTTGTTATTTATATACCTTTTGTACTTTTATTTGAAATAATGTATTCATATTTATGTTAGTCATTAGTTGTACAGTTTTATTGAAGAGAAAAAAATATACATGTAGTGTACATGAATGTTGCAATTTTTTTAAAAAAAGAACGGTTATTTATGAAGAAATCGCGATGATAATTGAATTAAAAGAAAAAAGATAAATATACCCTTGAATTATCGTATATGTCCATTTATACAAAGGGTATATATGCTCTAAATTTTGGACGGCAGGAGTACCAGTGTGCCAAAAATATGACGGGAATATTTTTGCATACAATTTACGATAATTTAGGGATATATTTATCCTTTTTCCCGTAGAATTAAACAATGACGAATAACTTAAAAGACTTAAAAGTTAAATTATGTTTTAACATAAAAATATATTCTTTGACTAGTCAAATTGAAAGATAAAATAAAAAACCTACACTATGAATCAAGAGGGCAAAGAATATAATATATATTGTTGAAAAAAAATAAATGTAGTTATAAATTTTCAATAGTTTTTTTTTCTTCGATTTGATTTGACTATTTAATTATTATTTTTTGAATCATAGAGAAATTAAAGGAAGACCAAAACAACCGGAGATAATAAAAAACCAAAAGAAAAACGTTATTTACGGAGAAAAAAAGGTCAATTTGAATGGCTATTACCTTTATTTTTTACAATATAAATAGATCAAATTCATTATCAAAACATCATCATCCTTTCCTTTCTATGTTGTAATAAATAATAATTTCCTTTTTTTTTCTCTCTCGGGTTCTCTTTTTGGTTTTTTCGATTCGATCAAAACAAAGTTTTAAAGAATCGAAAAACCATAAGAAACACGAGAGAAAAAAGTATAAAAAGAAAAAAAAAATGAATAAAAAGTTGGGTTGTGTGCTATCAATTTTGTTAGCAATAACCTTGACCATTTCAGTAAATGGAGAGGATCCTTATTTGTTTCATGAATGGAAAGTTACCTATGGCACCCTTTCTCCACTTGGTGTACCTCAAAAAGTCATATTAATCAATGGTCAATTCCCTGGCCCTAGAATCAATGGAACTTCAAATAACAATGTTGTTGTCAATGTGTTCAATCAATTAGATGAACCACTTTTACTCACATGGAGTGGTATCCAACAAAGGAAAAACTCATGGCAAGAAGGAACCCTAGGTAACAATTGCCCCATCCCTCCCGGTGCTAATTTCACTTATCGTTTCCAAGTCAAGGATCAAATCGGTAGTTACTATTACTACCCTACCACAAGCACCCATCGCGCTGCTGGTGGTTATGGTGGTATTAGTGTACTTAGTCGCGCTTTGATCCCTGTACCATTCGAGACCCCTGAGGCTGACCATATGGTCCTCGCGGGTGATTGGTACACCAAGAGCCACGTCGAATTGAAAAGGATGTTGGACAGTGGACGTGCTCTTGGTAGGCCAACGGGCGTTCTTATAAATGGTAAGAGTGGTAAAGGTGATGGTAAAGACGAGCCGATGTTTACTGTGATCGCTGGAAAGACGTATAGGTTTAGGTTTTGTAATGTTGGAATGAAGGATTCTATTAACGTAAGGATGCAAGGACACACAATGAAGCTTGTGGAGATTGAAGGTTCACACACAGTGCAAAATGTGTATGAGTCTATTGATATCCATTTGGGACAATGCTTCTCTGTTTTGGTTACTGCTAACCAGGAACCAAAAGACTATTACCTCGTGGTGTCCACGAGGTTCACTAAAGACTCACATGTGGCCACAGCCACTATCCGTTACGCTAATGGTAAGGGCCCCGCCTCACCTGAGTTGCCTAAGGCACCCGAAGGGTGGGCGTGGTCCCTTAACCAGTTCCGTTCATTCCGTTGGAATTTGACAGCTAGTGCAGCTAGACCTAACCCTCAGGGATCTTACCACTATGGTCAAATCAACATCACCCGAACCATTAAGCTAGTCACATCAGCTGGACAAGTTGATGGTAAACTACGTTACGCGTTGAACGGTGTGTCCCATGTGGACACCGCGACCCCAATCAAGTTGGCTGAGTATTATGGTGCAGGGGACAAGGTGTTCAAGTATAATCTGATCAAGGATGAATATGAACCTAATCCAGGACAAGATAAGATCACAGTTGCACCTAATGTGGTCAATGCCACTTACCGCAACTATGTTGAGATAGTCATTGAGAATCATGGCAAAACTGTTCAATCATGGCATTTGTCAGGACACTCATTCTTTGCTGTTGGGTAAGTTTCTCTCTATCTTTCATCATCATCCGTAACAGAGTCAGGATTCAGAAAATCACTATACTGTCACATTGGGATCCGAACATGCATGTTACCTAAAATAATTTCTGACCCCGCCACAGTATCAGATCCAGGATGACCTAAAATGACTTCCTAACCCCTACTTTTACAACCTACTCAGTGGATTTTGAATCAAAATTACTGAATTCTATGGATACTATAAGGGAGAATAGTAAAGTAGTATATATGATTCTTTTTTTTTGAACTATAATGATATTGTTGATGTGATATTTATAAATATTTTTTACGTTGTCAATACAGAATCGAACCAGGGAGGTGGGCCCCAGAGAGGAGAAAGAACTACAACTTGCTTGATGCTGTGAGTAGAAACACAATCCAAGTTTACCCAAAATCATTTGCAGTTATAATGACAACACTTGACAATGCTGGATTATGGAATTTAAGATCAAATTCATTGGAGAGAAATTATTTGGGACATCAATTATATTTCAGTGTCCTTTCTCCAAATAAATCAATTAAAGATGAGTACAACATGCCTGATAATGATTTATTATGTGGCATAGTTAAGGATATGCCAAAACCTACTCCTTACAAAGCTAATTAAAAGAACAAAATTATTTTATTCTTTTTTTTTTCTCATTATTTTGTGAATTTTATACATTTTTGAGCCAAGAAAAAAAAAAAAAAGCTAAGGAGGAGATAAAGTATACAAAGGGGGTCAAGCTTTTTTCAACAAGTGGAACAGTAAGTTTTTTTTTTTTGTCTGTGTGTGTTTGTAATTTTTTATTTTTGAAAATACCAAAAAATTTAGTCTTGATCAATGAATGCATTATTTGATTTCATGATGCGTTCATGTATTAATAAAAAACTTCAGAGAATTTTGTCTTATCTTTTATTTTATTTTATGAATTTTCTTTAATTTTCTCTTTTAGAAAAAATAAATATTAAACTCGTAAAATATTGAATTCGATCGGTTAATTATTATTTAAAGAATTCCTCTGTGTTCTACCTAGTTCTAATTGATAAGATATTCAACGGTAATTCGACTAGCTATTTTATATATTTTTGAATAAATATTTGTTTTTGTTTGAAAATTTTAATTAAATTCTTTTTAGAACTAATATTGATTTCACTGTTTTATTAACAAATCAAACTTAAAGGAAAGAATATATTTTTTTACTGTGTGCAAATGATACTTGCTTTTTATATAGGGAAAATGTTGAATTTGTAAAAGCACAAAGAAATAAGTATTTTTTTAAATCATAGGTTCGAAAAGCAAAAAGGTGTGATGATTCATAATGGTGATAATTAACCGTGATAATTTTGATTCGATGATTAATGCCGTAGTTGATGATGGTAGTGATTATGAATAACAGTTGATAGTAATGGTGGTTGGTGGTGATAGCTTAACTGATAGTGCTACATAGTGATCAATAATAGTGATTGACGATATATATTATTGGTCGATGATGGTAATTGGTTATTGTGTAGTGATAATGGTTGACAATAACGATTGTAATGGCGGTGAGACTTCCTATGATGATAGCGGTGTTTGATTAAGATCGTTGTGAATAGTACGATGAGCGATAGTGACACTAATGATAATATAGAGCGAGATGAATAACCTTATATATTATAGATCTTTATAATTCAGATACATTCGGACTCATTAAGTAGTCATAAAATTTTAAAAAAAAATAAAACAAGCATAGCAAGTTACCAACTAAATGCATCTTCAATACACAATAGTGTATACTTTCTTTATATTGGAAAAAATGACAAGTATACGTTCAAACTATCGTAAATGGTAAGCAGATACTCTTCATCATACTTTTGGAACATTAGTGTCTTTGTCATCCAAAAACTAAAGCATATATACCCTTTATACTAACCGGTATGCACGTGTTATAATCTTATCCACTAACCCGATATTTATTAAATATCAGATCGACGAATAAGATTGCATCACATGTCTCTATTTAGTCTTCCATTAAAGCGAAACATATATGCTCTAATTTTTAGACTACAACATTATAATATCCCAAAAGTATGACGGAATATAATAATTTTTGACCGATTGACCAAATGTGTAACTCATCCATAAATAATTGCACATAGAACAAGAGGTGTGGAAGGATAATTGCTTATAAATTTGTAAAGATTGAAGCCTTAAAAGGCAAAGTACATCAAATTTGAAGAGGAAAAGAATAAATTGAAGGGAACAAAACCCTTTAAATTATTCCTATTATAAGAACTTAGAACAACAACAATAATAACAATAATAATAGTAACAACATCCAGTAAAAACTCTTGGAATAAAATGGGACTAAAAAAAGTTGAGAAACTGAGTTTTCTTGGTTAGTTTCAGATATCCTTGAAGATGGAAAACAAATCACCATTGATGTAGTCATTATCGACGAGGCTGACCAAGAAGTAACTGTTCTGAACCTGTAACCAAAAAACAAAAGATATATATTTATCGGTATTGTACAAGAGCAACTACATAACACAAAGGCGTTCGGACAATATATGGTTGAAGTTGAAAAGGATGGAATGAGTACTGAACCATATGCAAGGTTGATTTCTCAGATGATCAAGTAATAGTTAGTATCTCAGAAAGTCATATTTCTTAACGAAAAGAGAATAAGTTGTTAAATACATACTTGTTCAAGCAATTTTCTTGATGGATCAGTCTCTGGGTATAATTGAGCCCATCCTCTTGACCAGATTTCAAATGCCTCATCCTTCCATATCATGAAGCTGGCGGGATCAACGACAGTTGGTTGTATAATTTCCTTAGCTGGGAAAACTCCCCATGTCACAGCGTTGATGTCGGTTTGGTTGACGTTGGAGATCCAGTTTCCTTCCTTGTTTACAGCCATGTAAGTTAGGTAAGGGAAAGACTTGCATTTCTCAACGAGGGCGTTCAACTTCTCCTGAGAGCAGAAGAACTCCAAGTATGCCTTTTGATAAACATATCCGCCGGGGCCACCCCATCCTGCAGAAAAAGATCAATAAGCCGGTCAATAAGAAAGTCGCTATAATTGGAAAAACAACAACATATCCAGTGTAGTCCCGCATAATGGGGCCTGGGAAGGATAGTGTGTTCAGGTGGAAGGTTTAGGAACCGAACTTACCAACAGAAGGAGAGTCGGACTTCTCAGCATTAACTGCTGGTTGGCTGTTAATAGTCAGGAAGCCTTTCGTGTTGACCTGACCCAACTTTTCGTTTATGATCTTTGTCTCTGGCTGAAGACCATCTAACTCAGACCATGGGCAGCTTCTCAGCTTTCCAAGACAGTAGTCCTTGAATTTCTGATGTGAAAATTCTGTCAGTACCAAACGTTCGGAACAAGTCTTTGGTTTTGACAAGAAATGAACTGTATCTGAAAATCATACCTCGTAGATATCTTCCACGCTATTCAAAGCCGCAGCCCATTCCTCTTGAAGCTTCTTATCTCTTGAGCGTGCACGCATGAACTGTAGAGGTTCAAAATAAGAAAAATCTTCAAATATTTATTCGTAAATGATTTAACTAATTATTCCTCAGAGAGATCTATACGAACAAAACAAGTTGCAATTACCTGATAGTCGGTAAGTGCTCCGTATGATGGATTTTGAGCATTGCTCCATCTACCATGTGGGTATTCATCCCAACCTGTGGTCCTTGAAATGTAGCTCTTTGGACGATTCGCCCTACCATCATTGACAATGACAGATCAGATTACAACAACAACAGACTCAGAGTAATCCCTACCTTTATGGTAGGTAGAGAGGTGAGAGGTTGTTTCCGATAGACCCTCGGTTCAAAAAAAAAAGAAAGGAAGCAATTCAAAGTAGTTTTGGACAGAGAAAATACGGAAGTGAAGAAGCTGTGGCAAGTAACAAGGAAAACACTACATAGCATGCTAACAGGAAGGAACAGTAACAACAACTAAATAATATTGTGACTGAAGTATAAGAAACAACAAATAGTCACAGAAATTGAAAGAACAAGAAACTACGACGATGATAGATCATATAAGAGTTGTACTCAGACATTAATTCACATCTCTACATACCAAAATATAGGACGCACATCCTCCTTGACACGGAAAATATTTGCAGGACGTCTCCAAGGCAATGGCCTAGAAATTTTGGACTCTTCGATTAATCCAAGATTCTGCATATCCAAGACATCTCACATTTGTAAGTTGAATTCTTGCCTATATTACAGATCATGATTGTTTCATAAATTTCGAAGTAGAAAGTTCAAAGGTAAGAAAATAAACCATCAAAATGGCCAATGCTGATTTCTCCATGTTCAATGTATAAAGATGCAAGGTCTTGATGCCAGTGGCTAAAATCTTTTTGCACATCTCAGTTCCAAGGTGAATTCCATAGGCTTTGACAGCCTCTTCATTGTCCTTAATAGGTTCCAATGCAGCCATTATCTCATCCGGAATCTACAACATAATTAAAGACAACTGAGTGTCTATGATGCAGGAGCTGCTAATCAACCTTTATTATGTCTTAATTAGCAATATAGTTTTTATTGAATGTAACACATAATATGGGGATACCTTAGTCTTGCAAAATCCAGTCATGCGCAAGAAGCCCTTGTAATTGTTAATGGGCATGATACCCGGAACGATGGGGCAGTTAATTCCAATTTGGCGGCAATCATTGACAAATTTTAGGAAAATATCAGTATCGTAGAAGAGTTGAGTTACAATAACATCAGCTCCAGCATCAACCTGTAGAATACAGGTTAACATAAGTACCTCAAACTCATAAACAAATCAAAAGCGACATAAAATATTCCCTTTGATGCCAGATTAATACCACAGGCATTACATCTGTCGTATGAAAAACGTAATGCTGGGAATAGACTACCTTTTTTTTAAGGTAAGCAAGGTCATTTTCATAAATCTCTTTGGTAGCTATTCCATTAGCAGGTATAACATCAGGATGTGCCTCTGAAAAAGAATCAAATTAGCATTCAGTAACAGCACATAAACAACAGAAAAACGAGAAATCGTTTCTACTTTAAAGACTAACGCGGAATAAGTAAATCACGGCCCATATTTGTCCAAATAAACAACGTAAAGCCCAAGATAGCAGTAGCCACCAACCTGGATAACCTGCAACAGTTATCCCAAAGTAATCCCCATACTTGGCACGCATATGCTTCACCTAAAACCAAAAAGAAAATCAATTAATACTAACACAAATACTGCACCAGCCATAACATAATCTCTAAATACTCAAAACTTTTCCATAAGCTGGTTGCACAATTTATCATGGTATCAAAGCAAGCAACTGGTCCTAAGTTCAAATCTCATCGACACTGAAAAAGTTAGAGATATTTCAATAAGTTGGGTCCATAAATCAGGCCAACATATGAAGGTACGCATTAAGACATACATAATTAAAAGTGTGTTCTCTCTAACTACTTAGACAAATACTGCACCAGCCATAACATAAAGTACAAGTTTTAAATGAGGTGGTCCACGCAATTTAATATGGTATTAAATCAAGCAACTAGTCTTTGAGTTCAAATCTCATCGTCACCCAAAACCAAAACATATTGCTACAAGTCGGTATCCGAATATAAGGCCAACGCATGAAGGGACATGTCGAGACATAATATAATTAAGTAATTAAAAAGTGTGTTATCTCTAAATATTACCACAATATCACACCAACCATAACACAATGCCTAAAAGCTTAACCTTTTAAACGAGTTGATCACACAAGCAACTAGTTCTGATTTCAAATCTCATCGTCATCCAAAACACATTTGGATAAATTGGATTCGAGAATCAGGCCAACACATGAAGGGACATATCGAGACATAACATAATTAAGTAATCAAAAGTGTGCTCTCTCTAACTACTACCACAAAC